TGGTTCTACCGGGATGAACAGGGGTTGATTCATCTGGTATGGGCTCGCCATACATGACCAACTATGATAAGTTTTTTGGCAGCTCAAAGTCATCCAATGTCAAACCTTTGTTGTCAATGCCTCCAGGAACAACTTCAGGAACAACCTTTTTATCAATGCCTTCAGGAACAACTTCAGTCACATTCACACCGTGAATTGGCGACTGTGGAACTTCACCTTCTGTAGATAAGTGTAGATCTATGTAGTTATGAACAGTATTATGGAGTTATAGAGAATATAGAGAATATATTACCTGCTTGTTGTGCCTCAGCTACTTCATCAATTGCTGGTTCTTCCTCAATATTTCCTTGTAGATGTTCTGCTGAAACTTCAGCTTGAATGAATAATTGGAAATGAGAATTGTAGATATATGTAGGAATATGTAGTTAAGGTGTAAATTATTAAAATTTTGCATAAAAACCTTATTGTAATGAAGGAATGGTTCTGTACCTGCTTTATATGCCTCAGCTGCTTCTTGGAAGTCAGGATATAAGTCAACATGTGGTTGAAAATGTTCTGGAGAAATTGTAGCTGCAACACATAGTGAAAAACTGATTAGCATAATTAAATAATGCTGTCTTGAAATTTGTAGATATGTATGTAGGAATTTTGTAGATACCTGTATTGCTTGTACTTCCATGCAGTTGATCACCAACATTGAACTGAAATTGCTGGTTGTTCTCTCCTTGATGTTGGTAATTATTTTTGGTTGAACTACCAGCAAACTACAATTTTGGGGAATATTTGGGACCACTTTATTCATATGTCTTAATTAGTCTTAGTACAAAATTATATGTAAATTATTACCTTTGACTCGTCCAAATCAAACCTCCTGTTTATCACATTCATAACACTCTTCAAAGATTGATCTATGAACTCTCGAAGGCTTGAGAGTTCCTTAAAAACAGCCTTCCTAAAAGCATCTAACTTTCCATCAACCTAAAAATTAAATATATAATTAGTTGGTAATCTTATTCTAATTGCTACAGTTACACTACAATTCAACAAACTATAATTGTTATAGATTTATACCACAAATTAACTACAATGTATAACATACTATAATTGTTATGTAATGAAGTCAAAATGTAGCAAATTATGTCAATATATTGTAGTTATTCATAATACCTGCACAATCCCCTTTTCCAACTTCCTGAGCTTGCTACTGACAGATTCAATGTCCTCTTGACAATCTGTATATTTGGGTTCAAATGATGGAGAAGCAGCAGTTGGAACATGTGATGGTTGAGCACCATGTTCATCTTCATATTGAATCTTGTCTGGCAGATTAAGAACTCCAAGCTCTTCTCCAGATTCAGTCATGTTTGTGAACTGAATGATGGAAATAATAGTTAATTCAAGTGACAAAAAAATGTAGATTCAATGTAGTTATTATGAATGTAATTGTAGCATCATACAAAAGTGGAAAAAAATACCTTGAGCCACTCAGGCTTGATCATCTTCTCTTCAATTGCAGTTAACCAAATCTGCCCCTTTGTAGTTGACCATCTTAAAATGTGAGGTATAGATTCAGAACATCTCGTAGCAAGCTCGGTGCTGACGGACGAGCAACACTCATATAGCCACACTTGTAAGGCTAATGAGCATCCCCGTATCAGATAAGAATGTACATGGGGATTAAGACGATGTCGGACAGATTCAATAACCTGCTTGAAGGATTTGATACCCCATGGGTATGACTCAAAATTACCAGACTCTATTAGAAAGAACATAAACTTGTCTATGAAAGTCACATGGTCTTTATCAGAAGGACAAACAAAAAATTCCAACATATAAAGAATGCACAACTTCACCGCATCCACATCGTTTGCCCATGCTTTATTAGTCACTACATTTTTCAAATGCCATTTCTCAACCCTTTCTTTGTTCGGAAAATATGTATTCATTAAAGGGCTAACATAGGTGGAAGTGTAACCATAGTCTGAAAACTTATTCACACAATTAAGACCAGTTATCAACCCAAATTCTCTCAAGGAAAAATTCAATTTTTCACCCTTAAATAGTACTGAAAAATATGAGTCAGTAGACTTTGTCAATTCATACTTCATCAGAAGATGAAGTGATTGGTTTTNGGGGGGGGGGGGGGGAGGAGAGAGAGGCGGGTAAACGAAATAACGTGAAAATACGGTCCTAAAATCACGCCTACAATAAATGAAGGAATAATTATACCCTTAATTTGAATTATAGTATCTAAATTGTAATTTGGTATGCTTAAATGTAATTAACACAATTCTTAAACAATGAAGGTAATAAGGTTTGATATATGGTATAGATAGGTAAAAATCCTAACATAAAAGTGGGAAGGTTGCCATGGATTCAAATATAGTTGATTGTGATGACTCTAATTTCTCACTAGTTATAACTGAGTCATTCAAACCATGTGACATATGGTTAATGGATTCAGCTTATAGCTATCATATGTGTCCTAACAGGGATCGGTTCATTGATTTTTAAAAAGAAGAATGTAGAGTTATTCAAACCACAAATAACAATATGGTATTGGTTCAATCCGTTTAAGGAACCATGATGGATTGATCAGAACATTAACAGATGTTCGATACATACCGGAATTGAAGAAAAATCTTATTTCTATAGGAGCCCTAGAGTCAAAGGGGCTCAAAGTCGTTGCATAAAATGGGGTAATGAGAATATGCTCTGGTGCATTAGTGGTAATGAAGGGAATTCGGCAAAATAATAGCATGTACCACTATCACGGTAGTACAGTTATTGGGACAGCAACAATGATATCCAGTGATGACAAGGAAGCAAAAGTAACCAAGCTATGGCACATGCGCTTGGGACATGCTGGAGGAAAATCTTTGAAAATTTTATCAGATCAATGATTGTTAGAAGGAGAAAAAACTTGTAATTTGGAGTTTTGTGAGCATTGTGTCAAGGGAAAACAGACAAGGATTAAATTTGGAACAACAATCTATAATAATAAAGGTATTTTGGATTATGTTCACTTTGATATTTGGGGTACTTCCAAAACACCATCATTAGGTGGGAAACACTATTTTGTAACATTTATTGATGACTTTTTCCGGAGAGTGTGGGTGTATATGATGAAAACCAAAGATGAGGTGTTGGGAATTTTTCTCAAATGGAAGTCGATGATAGAAAGACTCAAACAGGCAGAAAGATAAAGTGTCTCCACACAGACAACGGTAGAGAATACAAAAATTATCTTTACAATAGATTTGTGAAGATAGTGGCATTTTGAGACATTTCACCGTCAGAAATACACCACAACATAATGGAGTGGCAGAACGCATGAATCGGACTTTGCTGGAGAAGGTTAGGTGTATGTTGTCCAATGCTGGCTTGGGAAAAGAATTTTAGGCCGAGGCAATAACATATGCATGCCACCTCATTAATCGTCTACCATCTGCCGCTATTGGTGGCAAGACACCATTTAAAAAATAATATGGAAAACCTGTTGAAAATTATAATTTGTTGCATTTATTTGGCTCAATTGCATACTATCATGTGAAAGAGTCAAAATTGGATCCGAGAGCAAAGGAAGCTATATTTATGGGAATTGTTTCTGGAGTCAAAGGATACCGCTTATGGTGTCCAGAGACAAGAAACATTATATTCAACAGAGATGCTACCTTTGATGAATCTACCATAACAGATAAGGTGACAGTTGAAGATGTCAAACAAATTGATGGTGCTTCAAAGCAGGTGGAGTTTGAGGGAAAATTAATATTCCCAACACAGCGAGAAAACGAGGAAACAATAGAACATTTCCCCCTGGAAGAAGAGTCAGCAGAGAGGAAGATTCAATTCAGGAACCTCAACAACAACTAGAATCAATAGCAACCAGCAAGCCAAAAAGAACAATAAAGAAACATGTTCGTCTCATAAAGGTGGTGGCTTGTGAAGCCTCAATTGTAGCTGATGGTTTTTCTACCATTTATAAAGACGCAGTCCAAATTCAGAAGAAGATAAATGAAGGATTGCCATGAATAAAGAAATGTAGTCCCTTCATCAGAATCGCACCTGGAAATTGGCCAATCTCCCGAAGGGCAAGGAAAACAATTGGGTGCAAATGGGTATTAACAAAAAAAGAAGGATTTCCTAACCAAGAAAATGTTCGCTACAAAGCAAGATTGGTGGCCAAAGGGAACGCTCAAAAGGAGGGAATTGATTATAATGAGGTATTTTCTCCAGTCATGAAACACTCCTCCGTTAGAGTTTTGTTGGCTTTGGTAGCACAGTTAAATTTGTAACTAGTTTAGTTAGATGTAAAAACTGCATTTTTACATGGAGATTTGGAAGAGGAAATCTATATGACTCAGCTAGAAGGATTCAAAGTTGCTGCAAAGGAAAATATGGTATGCAAACTTAAAAAATCATTGTACGGATTGAAATAATCTTCTAGATAATGGTACAAATGATTTGACAAGTTTATGTTTCGTTAGAAGTACAAAAGAAACAAATACGATAATTGTGTATATTTTCGCAAGCTTGAAGACAGATCCTTCATATATCTTCTCCTATACGTTGATGATATTTTGATAGCTTCCAAATGTCAAGAGTAAATTGAGAAGTTGAAGATTCAACTAAGAAAGGAGTTTGAGATGAAGGATTTGGGTGAGGCGAAGAAAATTCTTGGTATAGAGATAAAAGAAGATAGACATTCAAAGAAACTCTATCTATCTTAGAAAGAATACTTGAAGAGAGTAATAGATCGATTTATCATGAATGAGAACACGAAGTCAGTTAGCACTCCTCTTGCTCCTCACTTTATAGCCCATTTAGCCAAGCTGCAAAAATCAGCTTATTTTGAGAAGTGCTTTTTTTCAAAAGTGTTTTTCTTAAAAGTACTTTTGGTAAGAAGCAGTTTGTGTTTGACTAATTAGTTTGAAAAGTACTTCTGAGCAGCAATTAGTGTTTGGCCAAGTTTTAAAATCTCAAAAGTGCTTCTCTAAAAGTGTTTTTGGAAAGAAGCTACTTTTTTCTGCTTTTCCAAAACTGCTTCTGCTTCTTCTCAAAATTATTTTTTTTCCTTCCAAAAGCTTGGCCAAACACCTCAAATTGAGGCCAAAAATATTTTTGGCCCCAAAAAAAGCACTTTTGGCCAAAAATAAGCTTGGCCAAACAGGCTATTAAGCTTAGTGATGCTAAGTCGCTGAAGAATGAAATTGAACGAGAGTATATATCAAGTGCCATATGTGAATGTCGTTGGTAACTTGATGTATGCAATGGTTTGCACAAGACCTGATATTTCACATGCTATCGGAGTTGTAAGCAGGTATATGCATGATCCAGGAAAGGAGCATTGGCAAGCTGTGAAATGGATTCTATGGTATATTCGTAATACTGTAGATGTTCGATTGATTTTTGAGTAGGAAGATAGTCAGTATCTGGTTGTATATTGTGATTCCAATTATGCTGGTGATTTGGACAAGCGTAGATCAACTACTGGTTATATTTTTACTTTTGTAAATGCACCAGTTAGTTGGAAGTCTACTTTGCAGTCAACGATTACTTTGTCTGAGGCAGAGTACATGGCAATTACAGAGGCTGTAAAGGAGACAATTTAGTTTCAAAGGTTGCTTAAAGAGCTTGGTATTGGTCAAGAAAGCATCATACTATTTTGTGATTGTCAAGGTGCTATCCAATTA